TTCTCATTACAACGGTCGTAGTTGAAGGAAAACACGTTTCTGCATGTGCATCGACTTATCGTGGCCTCTAGGATTCCTTCCTTACGCCCAACAATGACGAAAAAGACTTCTGCTCTTCAATGGCCAACGGTTTCCATTGAGTAGAATTGCCTTCGTTCCTAATGATTTTTTACCAGGTCTGCATCAACGCTCATAGACTATCTGTACACCGGTCGCATTGAAATCACCTTTACCAATGCCATGAACATGATTCTGTTGGCAAAACAGCTGTCGCTTCCCTGCGTGGAAAATTGGGGTGTTACATTTTTATCTGCCAGGTAGCCTGCTTTGCTCATCTGAGAATTGTTAAATGCCAAAGACTTCAGAATGATAACCTCTCGGAATGTTGGGAGTTTGCGGCAGCCGCGAACTGTACAGGTCTTCAAGAAGCTTGTGTGCAACACATGAATACGTTTTTCGAGGCAACCGTTGCGAATGACCTTTTCCTGGAACTTCCTGCAGACGTGGTACTCGCCATGTTGCGAAACGATGACCTGCAAGTGGACAGTGAAGAGAAGGTATTCGAGGCAGTTAAAAGATGGGTGTGTCCAACCGGCATTTTGGATGAAGGCAGGATTATTCATGCTCCAGAGATGCTCAAGGAGGTTCGATGGAATCAAACGGAGCACAGTTTTAGGAGACGTCTTCTCGAGAGTGACGATCTTATCGGCAGCAGTGTAGATTGCATGTATGCGGACGAATTGCTACTTATTTTTTTCAATTGTCAGAAAGTGTATAGGTCTTGCGGATCATTGGATAGGATATTCGAGTTTAAGGAACCAGGAGGAATGCCCCTTCAACGCTAGTCGTCGACTGGCAAGGCTTGCGACTTGTGTTCTCGTCTTCGGAAAATCGGCGGTGAATGACCTGCCTGCGGTTTACCAGTACGATTTGAAGACAAAAACTTGCGACCAACTGAGCACCGTAGATGGTCTTCAAGACGCAAGATTCTTGGCTCATGGTGGTGAGCTTTCGCTTCTACTCTTCTGTAATTGAATTTAACGTTAAAAAGTGTTGGCATAATTTTTAACACCACAACATCACTTCTAATATTTGCTTTTTGTTTTGCTGGGAAGTTCTACATGTGACGCAAAGTGATGTTCGCCACTAATTAACTCCTAAACACTTTTCCTCGCAGATTTGATTTATTCCTGGTATCTAGGACTTCCCGGTATATATGGATACTAAACCTAGATGTTGACGATATTCTCTAGTATTAGGTGGAATTTAATTATGCTTGTTTAATGCCGTCTGTTTACTTCGCGACAGAGAGTGTCTTCGTCATCGGAGGCAGGGTCAGCGGACAAAATCGGACGTCAGGGAAAGTAGAAGAATTCCGTTCGAGAGAACGGCTATGGCTGAAGCTACCTGACCTGCAGACTCCTCGCACAGACCACGCCGCAGCTGTTGTCACAGTCGGTGAACCTAAGGAGGAGGACGATTCGCTGTTGTTTGTTTGTGGGGGATGCCGCAGGGTGAAAAATACTGCACCCGATGAGGGCCTCCGTTCATGCGAATTGTTTGATTTGCGCAATAATCGGTAAGGAACTGTCTTTTTTGTCTAGCCAGAAGAACTTCAACCTAAGCCAATAACTATCGTTAAGTTTGATAAAGACTATACCCCGTAAAGGTTATTACTTAAGTAGCATGATTTCTTCCCACTACTTTTCGGTGTCTTGGTAAGCTCACACAAATGTTATAGAAAAATTGCTTAAAATTATATATTCTGTACCCCTTTCACAACAAATCACGTCTTTTTAAAAATGTTTATTTGCAGAAATTGTATCTCAAAAAAACATTTCCAATTCTGAGATTTCGGAACCTGGCACAGGGAGAATTGAGAGATTAGGACGTGTGTGTGTATGCGTTTCGTAAGCATAGCTGCGCTGTTAGGCCCTGCGTCTACACTGGCTCAAATTTTTGTCCGTGCTATCTCGCGATCTGCCAACCGAAATTCTGAAATGTGTTTACGCTTCGGAATTATTACCCGAGTAGGCTTGTACGATAAATTCTCATGCAGTATAGTTCCGAGATAATTAAATCAGGTTAGAATGTTAACTTTCAGACTGGTTTAGTTTTGGCCGCCTGCTAAAACTTAATTTTCTAAAAATGTATTAGGTAGTATTGCGTTTTGCCACTGATTTTCAGTAGCCTGGTAAATTTACATGTATTCTATAGAACTCATACACAAAATAATCTATTCTTGCCCTCATTTCGTCATACTTAACGTCTTTGTAAGAATGTACACATAAAGAAGTGGCGTCTCTCTGTTTTAGCAAGTACCCGATTATGAGCTTTTTTAAAACAGTTAAATTTTCGTTCATTAAGCATCCTATTAATCAGTTTTTGATTGTTAGAACATGGCTTTTCTTCATTGCAAAATTGTATGCACAGTGCTTGAGTTCTTCCTAATAGCATAGAAAAATACTATTAAGCGGAAGCTGTCCAACAAACTCTGAATGCAGGTGTAACGGCTGGCCGAATTTGAGGTAATTCGGGTGTTGGGGTGATTTTTAAGATCCTCATACACCCTTTATTTAAGTATCAAGTTGTAATTGTGATTTGCTGCCAAATAGTACAAAAAGGAATATTTTCGTGCGCGTTTTCAATAAAATATACTTGATGTTATAAGAGAACTGAAAATGGCTAGGACACATGTTAGACACTGCGTCTCCACTCCTCTGCAGTTTTGTAGATTCATTCCTGTCACAAAAATATAATCGGCTCGTTGGAACACAATATGGGATACAATAGGTCTGCTATCTCGTGACCTGTTAACTGAAATTATGAAATGTGTTTCTGATGCAAAAAGGTTGCTTAAGTAGGGTTGCATTATTAAGTATCGTGTAGCGTAACTTCAAAGTATTTCAAAAACCAGCTACCTGCCGTAAAGGAAATATCTTCTGAATATGCTGCATGCAACTTGCTATTACACTCCTACTTAAGTACTCTTTTCGAATAAAAAACCTTTAGAGTATTTAAGTTAACATTTAATGAAATAGCCGTCTACTGTACATAAATGCAGCAAGTTCTATCATATTCCAATTGTCATTAAGTAAGTTGGAAACTTAAATATTACGTTTATTGAGAAGCAGTCGATTCCGAAACCGCTATAGATGGGCTTCGTCACAAGGATGCCATTTTTGTCCGTGAAGGAAAGTAACTTTGCTAAAACTGTTTGTTTGCTGGCTGCAATTTCAGACCTCAGAGCAGAACAACTTGGAAGCTGTGTGAATCCCAGGTGGATTCATCTGCGGCATGGGCCTGCTTACAAAGTTGTTCCAACGATCTTTTGCGTCTTGGCTTGCCTTACGGTTGTTTACCAGTCTAGTCAGCTGACTTTGGTTCTTCTTCCTAGGTGGCACCAACTTCCCGAAATGCGGGAAGCAAGAGATGCAACTGCAGCCATCGCGCTGACTGACGGGCGTGTTTTCGTGTTTGGTGGTTGGAGGGACAAATGTCTTGCCTCAGTCGAATTCTGTCACTTTAAGGCTGACTGGTCGGACACTATTGAGACAGCCAGCACTGAAGAGTTTTGGCGACTGCTTAATCCAATGAGGACGCCTCGTTACTTTCACGCAGCCGTGGCCTTCAAGGGAAAGATAATTGTCGCTGGTGGTTTCACCGCAAACGAAACCGAAGAACACGATAGACAATGTGTCGTGGAGGTATTTTCCCCACCAGATGCTGAACGCCCACTCGGCGAGTGGACGCAGGTTGCGGATCTGCTGGTACCGCGATCAAGGCTCGTCCTCCTAGTATACAAAGACGAACTTTACGCTTTGGGTTAGCGCTTCTCCTTGCTGCAACCTTGCTTTTATTTGCATAGTCTGAAAATTGTGTTTTTTCTGCTTGGAAGATTGGAACTGAAATACATCCCGAACCTCATACAAGGCGTTTGATAGTCGTTGTTTTTTCAGCTGGTGATTTCTAAAATTTAGTTTCATTTGCCCTGACTACGCAGTATATACACTGTTTTCTCATCTGACTCTACACTTTCTGCCTTTCCATTAGGAGGCGCGGATGGCCCCATGAACACGATTGAAAAATTCATCCCGAGTGATCCACCGACTGCAGACCTCTCGTCCTGGTCTTGGGCTGCACTAGACTCCCTAAACGATCTTACTATCATCCACGGAGCGGTAGCTATCCAACAATTTTAGACCTCTTATAACATTCCTTTAAAGAAGAGAGAGAGAGAGAGGATAATGAAGAAATAAACAAATTGTATATTTAATGTTCATTACTTTTTAAAAGATTTTTAACTTGAGCACATTTTGCTCTAACATCTTAGAATTTTCGGAATATATGGCTTAGAACGCTTAATTTGTTTGAAATAGAGTTTGCAGCACTTGTTGGGCAAATTGATTTTCTAAATTTCCGAAGCTTACGGGACGTTAAAGCTTGTTCTGTAACCCGGTTATGTTAGAATTGCGCTCACTGATTGGGTTACAGGACCTGCTCCTATCATTGTGCCTTGCGTTCTCAAGCTTGCAAACACCCGCCGTTTGCGGTGGTAATATCACTGGTCCGAGCCGTCAGCCGTGTACTTGACTGTTCGAGTCGGTCCAAACGTGTGCCAGATTGTTGAGGAATTGAGTTGGAGAGTAACATCTCATATTGCGACGTCATCGTAGAAACTGACGGAAGACTGCTTTTGTGGACAGAACGTTTGTGCAATTCCAGCGTTTTTAAAGGCGAGGGTCACCCGTATGTGGTGATCAAGGATGTGTGATCTACTTTAACCATACTTACACACTAAATTCGTTACGTCTAATACGTGGCGTCAGTCAGCTATGGGGAATTTATTCGTTGCACAGGGCAGGATGTCGTGAGATAGCTGTTTGCTTACGCGGCTGAACAAGGTGACCGTTCGGTAGCGTGTGAGCAGCGTTGTGTGGTTAATGCGCTTGCGTACGCTTTTTTCGGCACGAGGACGTGAGTGTCTATGTATCGGGTGTGTGAT